TCGAATATACGTGATCTTCTCGGGGTTCTGAATATTAAAATATTCATACAATCGATTCACATAAATATATTGAATTTTATATTCGACTATTTAATATTCAATTTGAAAATAAAGAATAACAGTAAATAAGTAATATAAATGCAAATAAATAATAAATAAATAATATAAACACAACTATATTAATTTAATTGATTTATTCAATTCGAATATACGTGATCTTCTCGGGGTTCTGAATATTAAAATATTCATACAATCGATTCACATAAAAATATCGAATTTTATATTCAACTATTTAATATTCAATTTGAAAATAAAGAACAACAATAAATAAATAATATAAATACAATTATATTAATTTAATTGATTTATTCAATTAAAATATACGTGAAATTCGAATATACGTGATATTCTCGGGGTTCTGAATATTAAAATATTCATATAATCGATTCACGTAAATATCGAATGTTATATTTAACTATTTATTGATGTTGGATGTGAAATATTTATATCATCTCACAATAAAATTTATCAGATAAATGTCTCGGAAGTAATATTCAATTTGAAAATACACAATATTAATTGCATTTATCTATTCAATCCGTCAAAATTTATGAAATAAACATTTATGAAAGAAAAATAATTCCATTAATAATATTTAAAAAATATAAATATTCATAAATGCATTTATTAAAATAATATTTTATCTTATATTCAGCATTTTTGTGACAAAAGATAAGAGTTAATTAAAATGTATTAGCTCGTTATGTGTTTCTAAATATTTTGCAAATAATTAATTTTTTCTACAATTAGCAGCATCAATTGTATAAAAACATGCAATCATATATATTATTTTCTTCGTGTTTACCTTTAATCTAAATCTTTCATCTAAATCTTTAATCTAAATCTTTAATCTAAATCCTCGATACACATATGTTTTCTAATATAATTATGTTCCAATATAATTTTTTCAGCCCTCATTATTGAAGGTTAATTATTAAATCTATTATTGTTCATATTTTTTCACACTTTATTACGTTCCGAAACGTAAACTAAACAAAGTTTTATTTTACACGGTAATAAAGTGTATTTTTGTATTTTTAAATTTAAAAAGTAAATAGAGCAAGGAAAATATTTATCAAATGTATATCAGTTTTTTTTAATTTTACCTGCACATCTGCCTTACATCCTGTGAAATAATAAATATGCTTTTTTATACGGAGTGTTCGATAAAATCCCCTGCAAAATATTTATTTTAATACAAACTAAAATAATGTTCTCTATTAAAATTTAATTTAAGATTATATTTTTTCCCAGTTTTTAAAATCATAACGTTAAATATCGATAACATTAAAAATATTATATAATATTATAACATTAAACATTATAATAAATATCGATACAAGATTGTTGAAAAACAAAATCTACTGCGATTCGCTAAAATGTAAACTCTCATTATCTATTTGCATCCTTGAAGCGTGATTTGTAAAAATTTATTTTTTTCTTATCCGTGTCTCTGTCTTTTTATTAAGAAAGAAATTATTCCGATATATATATCACTCCGTGTATCAAATCTTATTAAAAATCGTCTATATTGCTTCGAAGATACATAAAGAATTACTAGTGATCAATCTTTGTTTTTGTTTGTTTGTTTTTGCTTGTTTGCCTTTATTTTATCTTGAAATCCAAGAAGTAAAAGTTTGCGGCCTTTCTGGCAATTTCTCTTACAAAAAATCAAGTTATTTATATAATGATATAATATTTATATAATAATATATGAAATCTATATTAAAAAAACATCTATAACATAGAAATACTGACAGAATGCAAACATTTACTACGATTTTCTTATAAATAAATAAGTAAATGAATAAATAAATAAATAAATATATATATATATATATATATATATATATATATTTATATAAATATATATATATATATTTATTTATTTATTCATTTATATATATAAATGAATACATTTTTTTTATATTAATAAATTATATATAATATAATAATTATATATAAATGAATAAATTTTTTTTATATTAATAAATTTATATATATATATATATATATATATATATATATATATATATTACACACGCGGTGTGATTTGTAATCTCAAAAAATGAAAAATCTTAAGCAAACATGTCTACAAGACAAATAACAATACAAAGTTGAATAAAGAAAAAATTTCTTTCTTTGTTGATTGTTTCATTAATGCTTGTTTCACCATGGGAAAATTCAAGTTGTTGAAAATCGATCCTCTTTCACATCCTGCATAAGTAATAATTTATTAACGTCTCGAGTTTTCCTCTCATGTTACGTCACCTATACATTAAGCTAATCTGGCATTATTATTTTTACTCTGAAATTTACTCTTCGAGACATAATCCTCCCTTTTTATTTGTTTTTCTCCCAGCAGACTGTTGTTCTCATTTTTTTACAGGATTTATTTCGTTTTCAACTAATTATTTTTTCACTACAGGCAAATTACATAAGAAATAAATATCGTGAAATCATCAGAAATAGCTTGAAACATCATAATTTTAAGCTATGTAATTATACACATTTTTTATTTAACTTTTTTTTCTTTAAAGAAAAAAACACATTAAAATGATTCAGTTCAAAAAATTTTAATTTTTTCATGGAATAGAAAACTCATTTTCATAAATAAGAATAAGAGATTATATTTGTTTATTAATAGAATAAGACTTCATATCAAATTCTTCTGCTCGTTTGGAATCGATTTTTCTGTAGTAAAAATATCAAAAAAGTAATCCTATGATAATTTGCTAATCATTATATATAATACTGTTTTATTTGTTACCATTAAAATTCAACTAAAATTTTTATTGGACACTTGAAGTTAATTAAAAAATTTAATTTTCTTCTCAAATTTGATTAAAAAACTCCGTCCCTTTAAATTGATAATCGGATACTATGGAAGGAAAACTTTACTCCAATATAGAAGGGACAGAATTTGCTTTTATAAAATAACGAACTGCGCGTAGAATATTTTATATAACACGATGATAAATTACAAATCATAATTTACGAACACATCCGTAAAATTACGAAAATACAAGTAATTTTTCGCATGGTAAGTAAAAAAAGCAGAGGACTAATAGGATATTTCCTTTCATTATATGTATATACACACATATATATATATATATATATATATATATATATTATATATATATATATATATATAAAACTGATTTATTTTATTTTTTGTTATTAATTCATTCATAATGCTATAATAAATTTTATGTGTGGAAATTCGCCGCAATCATTTTTGCGAATGTTTAATACTAAAATAATGAATAATAATTAACATGTTTTTTAATCTGATTTTAAAAAATCCCGTGACATTTAAAATAATATATAAAAATATATAATATAATAATAATAATAATTCCTTATTCAATGAATATATTTTCAAGGTCTGTGTACCATTTAGAAAAAGAGAAAGGATATTATATATCTCTTAAAAAATCACACACATTTTGTATTACATTGGAATAAATGAGAAGAATGTGATAATTTTTTTTAATTTATTACAAAAGTGATTTGAGCTGTTTAAAAAAGGTGTTTTTTTAGAATCTCAATTATATTGAAAAAAAATTAATATTTATCAATTATACTAATTTTATACATTCGCAAAAATTATAAAATGTCGCGCACGAAAATTTAATAAAGGAAACACGAATTTTCAAACTTTCATCAATTCTCAAGGGAATAAAGTAATTAGTTTTCTACAGATTAGGCTCTTCAGATTTATTCTGTCACTTGAATAATGGCTTTCTGATAAATTATGATCCTTACTTAAAGTTATCGGATCTGATTTTATTAATAACAATCGAAAACAGAAATTTTCGGCAAATCGATCTTATGAATGCTGAGGGTAAATCGAGAATAAAGAAACAATGCACGAAATTCTTCGTAGTTATACGGATCACTTAATATAACATGATTGATTTTCCATCATTGAACATAATGTGATTGATTTTTCATTCGCGGTGGGGAGCGTCGTAAAATAAAAAATCTAAAAAAACAAAAATCTATTATCGTATTTCCTACCTTCCAAGAAAAGGTTTTCCTACCTTTCAGTTGAATGTTTGGGTCACTAATGAACAGAAGAAAGTTAAAGTGATTGAAAGAAAGAACAGGAAAGCAAGAAGGGTAATTAAATAATATGTCTTCTAAGAATCTCATTTACATTATTTTTTGATAAATATAAATATGTTATTTATATTTAACTCAGAATAAGAATACATAAAATGTATGCACAATATATTTCGAAAATGTATTATATTAACAAAAATAAAATTATAAATAAAGATTTCTGAAAAGTCTTTTTTAAATAATTTAAATATTATTTTTAAAACATATGCATACCAATTTAATATTTTTGTCAATTATAAATTTATTATAATTGATATTTTAAAGTTAAATGCGTTTATGTATATAATCCATTTTAATATTATCTGAATTAATCTTATATTTGTTTCCTCAAACTTTATTAATTTAATAAAATTATAATATTAATTGAATAAAAATTTAATATCGTAAGAAAAATATAACTTCAGTTTCATGACTATTTCTAGAATAGAAAATTAATTTAAATAATTGTCCCTAATAATTAAAATAAATAAATATTTTCATTAATTATAACATTTAAAGAAAAATACTTTTTATTATTAATCTTTAACAATAATTTTATGATAGACACTACATCCTAATCTTCTTAATGAAAATTTCTATTTATTTTTTATTAATAATGCAATTATTTATTTTTATATATTTATTTTTTATTAATAACACGATATTTTTTCGAACAGAGCTTTGAATAGGTCTAAAGTGTAATCAGCTACTATTGAATTTTTAGATGCAATGAATAGTCTTCATGATTTGGAAGATAACATTAATAGAAATGAATATAGAAATAAATATGATAATGATGATATTATACAATCCAAGAAAATTTTATGGAAACGACAGGCTACAATAGATAGTCCATCAAATATTTCGATTTCTGACACCGCTATAACTGAGCAGTCGATGTCTGAGAAGATAGAATCTATCATGCCGACAAACTTTACGAACATGATATTTAATGAGTCGACGGCGCAAGTCGCAAATATGTCGAATCAAATCGACAGAACTGACAATGTATTATATATGTATGGAGTACCGCTGCTAATTTTCTTCTGTGTCATCTCGGTAGCCGTAAATATCAAGGTTCTTATAAGCGCATTTTGGATAAAACGCCCGATCAGTCCGACGTTGTACATCAGTTTAAGTTTAGCAGGTAATATAATATTCTTTATATTTAACAATAATATTTTTTTTCTTCACATAATATGTTTAACTTAAATTAAAATAATAAAATAATAAAATTGCAATTAAATATCGTATATTAAAAGCGGTAAAAATTGAATTGTGATATCTTTTGTAGACAAGAAGCATTTTTTCTTTCATTTTTTTGTTTTATATAAATTTTATGTTATTTTATTTTTTAAAAGAAAAAAAAAGAAAGTCTCTCTCTCTCTCTCTCTCTCTCTCTTTATCTTTAAATATATAATATTTCTTCTGTTAATGATTAAAATCAATCAAGCTTTTGACTCTTCTTCAATTCGTTTAATAAAAATCCGATAAAGTCTCAACTTTTTACTATGATTCTCTTGAGCTTCAATATTAACTATGTTGGTAATTAAAATTTAACATGAATTAGCTTTTCAAAGTTAAAATCGAAGTTATAAATAACCAAAGAAAATTAAGAAAACATTTGAAATATTTCAACTAAAGTAAAGAATAATATTTCCTGTATTTCTAGTGTCTAAGTATGAATTTTTAATAAATTTGAAACATTTTTTCTACGCATAATTATGTGTATTGCTAACAATAAATTATTTTCGTGTATTATTGTTTTCAATATCTTTAAGACGTGTTTTATAAATTTAATAATACCCTATTATTGTTTAATATTTGATGAAATAAAGATTTCTTGAAGGACGTATCGGAAACAATATTTTATTGTACTTTAAAAGTTAGTATATATAAATAAAAATTTCTATAAATAAGAAAGCATATAAAAAATACATCTAAAAATCATATTGCACTTCTAGGTGCAGATGCTTTTACCAGCAGTGTATTAGGCGCAGGACTCCTTATGAATAGTTTGATACCCAATGGACTTGAAATTAAATTGATAGGTAGGATCCTATTGATTTTTATAATTAAATATTAATTAATTAGAAATAGATACGTACATTTCGTACGTAACTTCACAAGTTTCAAACATGATTCAATTTAGAAATTCAATAACTAGATTTTTAAACAAACTACATTTTTATTAGCAGGTTTTAAGAAAGGTTAAGAAAAAATTGATATATGTATAAAATTATTTTTAATTGTAATTATAATAACTTTTTCAACAATATATTCATAATTCTTTCTATTTTCGAATCAATACATTGTAAAACAGGCTGCATAAATGTAAGATTCAGCAAATATACGTATATATATATATATATATATATATATATATATATATAAAAATAAATGTTTTAATAAATACTAATGAAATAAACACAAATGAAAGAATCACATTATTTTTAGGTGTGGATTGTTTTTTATTGGTACTCGAAGTTGTGAGATTGGGAGGAGTGATAATTACCGTATTCCACCTAATGGCTTTAGCTGTCAATCATTACCTGGGTATTCTTAGACCACTCCACTATCTTTCGATTTTGACATACAAGTAATATTATTTAGTTTGTCGAAAATCTATTTGAACGATACACAACTTCTTACAAGAATTTTTCTCTTTCTTTCAAGAAATACTACAACTTTGTTGATTCTATTGTGGGTGCTACCAATTTCTTTTTTCGCCGTGTACTTTAATGTAGTTGAAGGCGACGGTTTTCAATCTAAAGAATGCAAAGAAAGCACGTAAGTATATTAAAACTATAAAAGGCCTTTCCTACCTTAAAGACTCTTTTAACGTTGTTAAAGACTCTTTTAATATTTCCATTCATAGAATTCGCTTCTAAGTTCGCATTTTTTAAAAATTTATGTATATAAGTCTGTGTTTTTTTTTTGAATATATTATATGCCATAGAATAATATATACATATACAGGATGTCCCAAAAGTCCCGGACCGGTCGAATATTTCATAAATTATGCACTTTAGAAAGAAATGTTTCAGACAAAAGTTGTATGGCTTGAAGGGGGCCATCAGATAGTGGCATGATTTGACATGGGAGAGTCATTTAAAAGTCACGTGAAGATCACCGTCAATTTCTTAAATGGAACTCCCTATTTTTTATTAAATATTCTGGTAGCTCACGTCGAGAGCTTTCCAAAACACTATAATTAAGTTAGTTTTCATTAAGTACTTTCCGAATTATGAGACTTGAAATCATTTCTTAATTTTACATAAACCGTAAAATATTTTGTAAAATATTCATTTTTCGATTATCTTACCTTAATACTTTTATGTACAAAATAATAAGAGGAATCAATTGGTGTAAAGAAAAAAAATAGTTGCTTTTAAGAAAAAAATATGTAATTTGCAATTAACAATTACATTTTTTTTTAAAAACAACTATGTGTTTTCTTTACACCAATTGATTCCTCTCATTATTTTGTACATAATAGTATTAAGATAAGATAATCGAAAAATGAATATTTTACTAGATATTTTATGGTTTATGCAAAATTAAGAAATTATTTCAGCCTCATAACTCAAAAAATACTCAATGAAGAAATACTTCATTATAGTATTTTGGAAAGCTCTCGAGATAAGCTACACGAATATGTAATAAAAAATAGGGGGTTCCATTTAAGAAATTGAAAGTGACCTTTACGTCACCTTCAAATGACTCTCCAAGGTCAAATCATTGCTACTATCTGATGGCCCCCAAGCCATACAACTTTTGTCTGAAACATTTCTTTCTAAAGTGCAGTTTATGAAATATTCTACCGATCTGGGACTTTTGGGACACCCTGTATAAATATAATAAACTTTTCAGATTCTTGGCTCACAAAAAATTTCGAATGTTGTTCAGTTGTCTTTTTTTCGTGCCCTTTGGTCTGATGGTTTGCATTTATATACACATATTCTGCATAGTAAAAAAACATCAAGCCACGAGAATGCGCTTTCGTACAGCTGGTTTTTCGATTCGTAGAAGAACAGCGGAAGCAATGCGCAACAGTTCTAATCACATGACACGGAACGTCAAAGCTATTCATACAACTTTATACATACTTGGTAGGAAAGAGAGAACTGTATAATGCATTTAATAAGAAAAATTATTATGTAGGAGCTGCAGTTGTATCGAATTTTATAATGACACAAATGCAAAAATACAAAATATATCATACGCATCTGAAATTTATTTTATAATGACACAAGTGCAAAAATACAAAATATATCACACACATGTGAAATTTATTTAATTCAAATTATACAGAGTGTTCCATTTTAAAAAAACGCACCTCGATGATTCTTCAACGAAGCATTTTCAGCAAAAATGTTTCAGACAAAAATTGTATGGTTTCAAGGGAGACATAAATAAGATGGTGTCATTAATTTGAGCTTGAATAGTTACTTGAAGGTCACCTTCAATTTTTTAAATGGAACCGCCTACTTTGTATTGCATATTCTTGTAGCTTATCTCGAGAGTTTTCTAAAACACTATAATGAAGTTAGTTTTCATTAAGTACTTTCTGAGTTATGAGACTAGAAATAATCTTTCAATTTTACATAAACCGTAAAATATCTAGTAAAATATTCATTTTTCGATTATCTTACTTTAATATTTTTATGTACAAAATAATGAGAGGAATCAATTGATGTAAAGAAAACATATAATTGTTCCGTAGAAAAAATATGTAAATTACAATTAACAATTACATATTTTTTCTTGGAAACAACTATGTTTTTTCTTTACAATTAATTCCTCTCATTATTTTGTGCATAAAAATATTAAAGTAAGATAATCGAAAAATGAATATTTTACTAGATATTTTATGGTCTAAGTAAAATTGAGGAATTATTTTAAGCCTCATAACTCAGAAAGTACTTAATAAAAACTAACTTAATTATAGTGTTTTGGAAAGCTCTCGACATGAGCTACAAGCATATTTAGTAAAAAGTAGGCAATTCCATTTAAAAAATTGAAGATGATCTTCACATGATCTTCAAGTAACTATTCAAGGTCAAATTAATGACACCATCTTGTGTCCTCTTTGAAACCAAACAACTTTTGTCTGAAACATTTTTGAGAAAAATGTTTCGTTGAAGAATTATCGAGGTGCGTTTTTTAAAATGAGACACCTTGTATATTTATATTAAATAAAATCTGAGCTTTAATGACACCATATACGCTTTTTAAGGAAGCTTCCTAATCGGCTGGATGCCTGCAGTAATAATCTTCATGTTGGTCTGTATCGACTGTATGTTCCAATTAAATGTATCGAAACAGATCGAATTCCTCATTTATGCCGTAATTAACGGTCTTATTATCCTGAAGACTTTGATCAATCCCATTATTTATGCAGCCAGAATGCACGAGATTAAGGTAAAAATTATTTACTTTATACGATATAAAAATATTTATATTATATATTACATGATAATTTTATATAATTTTATATACAGGGTGGGCCATTTTAATCCGTCCACGGGAATATCTCCTCAGGTAGGGGCGATAGCGGAAAATGCCTCAGACAAAAAGTTGTATGGCTTGAAGGAGAACATAAGATAGTGTCATTAAATTGATTTTGACTAGTTACTTGAAGTCACGGGAAGGTCACCTTCAATTTTTTAAATGGAACTGCCTATTTTTTATTACATATTCTTGTAGCTCATCTCGAGAGCTTTCCAAAACACTATAATTAAGTTAATTTTCATTAAGTACTTTCCGAATTATGAGGCTTGAAATTATTTCTTAATTTCACATAAAATATCTTGTAAAATATTCATTTTTTTATTATCTTACCTTAATACTTTTATGTACAAAATGATGAAAGGAATCAATTGGTGTAAAGGAAGCACAGTTACTTTTAAGAAAAAATATTTAATTATTAATTGCAAATTACATATTTTTTCTTCGAAATAACTATGTGTTTTCTTTATACCAATTGATTCCTCTCATTATTTTGTACATAAAAGTATTAAGGTAAGATAATCGAAAAATGAATATTTTACAAGATATTTTACGGTTTATGTAAAATTAAGTAATGATTTCAAGCCTCATAACTCGGAAAGCACTCAATGAAGAAATACTTTATTATAGTGTTTTGGAAAGCTCTCGAGATAAGTTACACGAATATGCAATAAAAAATAGATGGTTCCATTTAAAAAATTGAAGGCGATCTTCCCGTGACCTTCAAGTAACTATTCAAGGTCAAACCAATGACACCATATTATGGCTCCCTTCAAGCCTACAACTTTTGTCGGAGGCATTTTCCGCTATCGCCTCTACCTGAGGAGATATTCCCGTGGACGCATTAAAATGGTCCATCCTGTATATTACATAATAATTTTATATAAAAAATATATACTTCACTAATATATCAATATTATAATTGAATAAAAAAAATTGTATAGTACTCAAGATTTTAATCTTTAAGAAGTTTGATACAGAAATATTGAATCCAATCGATCAAGATTTTGTCGCAAATTAAAGAGCTTGGATATCGGATTTTTTAAACTATGAATATGAAATTTAGGAAAAAGTATTTTTTCAGGTCGCCACGAGGCGAATGCACAATGCTTTCTGCGAATGGATAACGCTCAATCATTTTACCACCAACCGAGGAATCAGCAGAATGTACAGCAGCGAGGAGAGTAAGCAGTCGCAATCAAGGACCGGTACGACCGGTTGTCAATTATTTCATAATTTAAGCGTCCGAAAAGCGCGAAACGGAAGCACGTACATATGTACGGGTAACAATGCGCAGGAATACGGCAATACACTCGTGTAAGTCAGATGATATGCACTGAGAAAAAAAGTTGCTAACTTGTCCAAATCGTTTAACTAACAAAGTTATTATTTTTTTAATCGAAATATTTAAATATTTAAGTTAATAGATGCCATGTTAAATTTAATATGTATTATTTAATTTAAATAGTTAAATATTTAAATTAAAAAATAATAATTTAATAAAATAATTAAAATTAAGTTAAATGGTTTAGTTAAGTTAACAATTTTTTTCTCAGTGTGGGAGAAAAAGAAAGATACGTAACAAAAAAATATTTTTTTGCACATTTTATCAGTCATATAAATATGACGTACAACTAAATGAATGAAATAATAGTTACAGACATCTTTTAGTAGTATATTAAAAATCTTATTTTTTTTATTTTTCTCTCTTTCTTCTCTTTGTCTCTGTTTTATTTTGATGCAGTTGTAACGATTATTCCAAGTCCAGTATGTTACTATAGCAATTTTTCATATTTCTATAAATTCTCGTAAAAATTATAAATGATTAATGATGAAAATTATTTCGTTAAAGTCACACTCTATGAGTGTATTTGGAGTATCTCAATGTTTGTAACTCTGCTATCACATTCATTTGTTGTACATTCGAAGTCCAATAGACTTCTGTATGTTCCACTGCGATTTTAAAATACTCAACCGAGATTGCATTTTATAACGCGACATGTAACTGACATGTAATTTTATCTCACAATATTCTTTTGAATTGCAACATTGGCATGACCTATATTGCATATGTCTTTGAAACTTATTAGCAGAAATAGGATTTCTATGCAAACAAATATAGAAAAGGAAGAATACAAAGTTATTCATCCAAAATATCTTGTTTTATGTATGTATGTATCCCAGCAAGCACTAAGTAACATTTATATAATTATTAGTTATAATTGCTCACTCAACAATATAACTATTACATAACATGTAACAATTATATTGTTGAGTGAAAAATTATTACTAACAGTTACATAACTGTTATTTGGTGTTTGCTGGGATATACAGGGTGGACCATTTTAATCTATAATGGAAAATATCTTGGAATGTTGGTGAGATACAACAAAATGTTTCAGACAAAAGTTGTATGGCTTGAAGGGGGCCATCAGATAATGGCAATGATTTGACCTTGGAGAGTCATTTAAAGATGACGTAAAGGTAACCTTCAATTTCTTAAATGGAACTCCCTATTTTTTATTACATATTCGTGTAGCTTATCTCAAGAGCTTTCCAAAACACTAATAAAGTATTTCTTCATTGAGTACTTTTCGAGTTATGAGGCTTGAAATCATTTCTTAATTTTGTATAAACCGTAAAATATCTAGTAAAATATTCATTTTTCGATTATCTTGCTTTAATACTTTTATGTACAAAATAATGAGAGAAATCAATTGGTGTAAAAAAAACACATAGTTGTTTCAAAGAAAAAATATGTAATTTGCAATTAACAATTACATATTTTTTCTTTGAAACAACTATGTGTTTTTTTTACACCAATTGATTTCTCTCATTATTTTGTACATAAAAGTATTAAAGCAAGATAATCGAAAAATGAATATTTTACTAGATATTTTACGGTTTATACAAAATTAAGAAATGATTTCAAGCCTCATAACTCGAAAAGTACTCAATGAAGAAATACTTTATTAGTGTTTTGGAAAGCTCTTGAGATAAGCTACACGAATATGTAATAAAAAATAGGGAGTTCCATTTAAGAAATTGAAGGTTACCTTTACGTCATCTTCAAATGACTCTCCAAGGTCAAATCATTGCCATTATCTGATGGCCCCCTTCAAGCCATACAACTTTTGTCTGAAACATTTTGTTGTATCTCACCAACATTCCGAGATATTATTATTTTCCATTATAGATTAAAATGGTCCACCCTGTATATACAAGGTGGCCCCGAACGTTCCAGCCAGACTTTGAGATCTTATAGGAAATTTAATTCTGAACAAAAAATTTCTTATAAACATGAATCGAAAAATGCTTCCTTAAGAAGTTATCGCTCAAAAACCTTTGATGAAGGAAGAGCAAAAGGTGAAAAGAAAATGAAATAGAAAGAAAATGAAACTAAATAAATTTCTTGAAAAAAACTTGATAAAAATAAAAAATAAAAATCTTTTTCTTTTATGAAAATAAAATAAAAGTTTGTTAAAAAAAAATTATTTTATTTTCATAAAAGAAAAAGATTTTTATTTTTTATTTTTATCGTTTCTTTCAAGAAATTTATTTAGTTTCATTTTCTTTTCACCTTTTGCTCTTCCTTCATCAGAAGTTTTTGAGCGATAACTTCTTAAGAAAGCATTTTTCGACCCATATTTATAGGAAATTTTTTGTTCAGAATTAAATTTCCTATAAGATCTCAAAGTCTGGCTGGAACGTTCGGGGCCACCCTATATATATATATATATATATATATATATATATATATATATATATATACATATAATCTTCTTTTTATATTTTATAAATATATATTTAAAAATGGGACGTATAGAATTATCGTATTTTAAAAGTACAAATTGCTCAAAATAGATCAAAACGAAACATCGTATCTATCAAGACTGATTATATTCTTGGATTTCTACGTTTATAAAAAATATTTATTTATTATCATGCGACTTACCTACCATCCACGGCATCAATAATTTCTGCCCTAATGCCAAGTTCATCGAAAAGTCTGTGCATCCTTCTACGTCTCTCCGGTCTTCTTACAAGATTAATCATGTAAATGTGATTCAAACCCAAGGTGTCTTTCTTCGGATATATTACGAATTCTCTCAGATCGTCCGATAACGGCAAATAATCGTTAAATGCTGCACAAAAGACATGCAAATCTAACCATCACGAATTAATGTATTCAATACGACAATATTACATGCATACCAAAAAAGTATTTTTAATGAAAAAATGATTTATTGCATAAAACACATTAAATCGCAATTTAGAATACTATTTCGTAATCTTTATTATTATTTATATAATTATTTAATAGATTTATTTAATAATTATTTAATTATTCTAAACGTGTTTCAAAATTAATTAAATTCTGCTTTGCGTGTGTTTTATAATAGAGGCAAGTTTACCTAATATTTCCACTTTTGTGTTGGTCAACCGTTGCATATCTTCCGTGATAGTTTCTTCATTTTCTAGGGGCACCATGACGAAACCGTAAACTTCGTCGTTACACACGAACAATGGTATATCTACAATATAAGTATGATATGCTAAATGTAACACATATAAGTACAAATCTTTTTCAAAATTTATGATATCGAGATAAATTAAATTTTTCATTCAACTAAAGTGAATAAAGGTCAATAGTTTTAAATTTTAAAATATATAATTGATAAGTGTAATAACTTTACTATTAATTATAGCGATAATTTTAAATATATGATAGAGTTTAATATAATAAGTGTGATAAGTGAAATTTCAAATATTTACTCGATTTATTTGCTCCAACGGCAAAAGTTATGATATCATCCTCGGGTCCATTATAGGCAATCAATTTTTCAGCTTTGTAAGTCAAACGATCGGAATCGTATCTTCTTAGATCTATGAGCACCGCACTATGGACCATAGGCACGTTGTGACATCCGGTTTTTTCACGAAATAAAATCGGTTCGTACAGATCCGTTCGTACATAATAATACTCCGCTGTTATTCCAGCCCAAAAGTTACTGTACATGCCGTCCGATCTCAATAAAGGTGCCACGACAGTCTGTCCTTTAAGTACTAAGTCGCGCATAGTGCTCGAATTTGTCAAAAAAACGTCAGCATCCAGCATCTGTAAAAAATTATATTTTTTTTCGATAAATTTTTAATCGATTACAAACAGATCGAATAAAGATATGATGCATTTGTAAACATATAACGCACGATAAAGCGTAAATTTATAAATTTCTAAGTAAATAAAAAAGTCAAATAAAAAAAAAACAAAAAAAATTCGTAAAATATGTAAGTGTAAAATGTGAAAAACTGTAAGCGTAATTATTATGAAAAATCGCGCATATATACAATTACATGAATAACTACGAGTTAATAAAACAAATATTTCATACGATAAATATGTCAAACTGTTAAAATAATATCTATAAATTTATAAATTTCTAAGTAAATAATCAAGGTCAAATTTAAAAAAAAGTAACAAAAAAAATTCGTAAAATATGTAAGTGTAAAATGTGAAAAACTGTAAGCGTAATTATTATGAAAAATCGCGCATATATACAGTTACATGAATAACTGCGAATTAATAAAACAAATATTTCATGCGATAAATGTGTCGAATTGTTAAAATAATATCTATAAATTTATAAATTTCTAAATAAATAATCAAGGTCAAATTAAGAAAAAATAGCAAAAAAAATTCGTAAAATATGTAAGTGTAAAATGTGAAAAACTGTAAGCGTAATTATTATGAAAAATCGTGCATATATACAGTTACATGAATAACTGCGAGTTAATAAAACAAATATTTCATGCGATAAATGTGTCGAATTGTTAAAATAATATCTATAAATTTATAAATTTCTAAATAAATAATCAAGGTCAAATTAAGAAAAAATAACAAAAAAAAAATTCGTAAAATATGTAAGTGTAAAATGTGAAAAACTGTAAGCGTAATTATTATGAAAAATCGCGCATATATACAGTTACATGAATAACTGCGAGTTAATAAAACAAATATTTCATGCGATAAATGTGTCGAATTGTTAAAATAATATCTATAAATTTATAAATTTCTAAATAAATAACCAAGGTCAAATTAAAAAAAAATAACAAAAAAAATTCGTAAAATATGTAAGTGTAAAATGTGAAAAACTGTAAGCGTAATTATTATGAAAAATCGCACATATATACAGTTACATGAATAACTGCGAATTAATAAAACAAATATTTCATGCGATAAATGTGTCGAATTGTTAAAATAATATCTATAAATTTATAAATTTCTAAATAAATAATCAAGATCAAAATAAAAAAAATAACAAAAAAAATTCGTAAAATATGTAAGTGTAAAATGTGAAAAACTGTAAGCGTAATTATTATGAAAAATCGCGCATATATACAGTTACATAAATAACTGCGAGTTAACAAAACAAATATTTCATGCGATAAATATGTCGAATTGTTAAAATAATATCTATAAATTTATAAATTTCTAAATAAATAATCAAGGTCAAATTAAAAAAAAATAAAAAAAATTCGTAAAATATGTAAGTGTAAAATGTGAAAAACTGTAAGCGTAATTATTATGAAAAATCGCGCATATATACAGTTACATGAATAATGCGAGTTAACAAAACAAATATTTCATGCGATAAATATGTCGAATTGTTAAAATAATATCTATAGTTTATTTATAAGAAAATTTCTAGCTCATAGTTAACTTTATATCAATATCTATGTCGTTGAAAAAATATATCAGCGCGAAAAATAATTTATTCTTAAGATAAATTTTTCTCATTAGAGAGGAATCGTTAAGATTAAGAAATTCACTCACGAAAATGAAATCCGCCCATATCTCCCTCGCGTAATTGAGGGCTTGTTCACGCAAATCTATTACATGAGCAAATCTACGGGGTGACCAATCGGCAAATGTCCTCTCGTCCTCGAATCTCGTCGACGTTGCATTTAATTGAATATTCAAGCAATGATATTTTTTGCCCTCTAAGCCGATCCACTTATTTAATATCTCTATAGATCTGTCGACATTATGATCGCTGCGTATCCTAAAATAATCAGTGTAAAAAATCGTGTCATCTTATCGTGATTATTCTTCTGTATACGTTATATTAAACCTGATATAAATATATCATTATATGGAACTTGGTATAAATAAGTCATTATATGAATTTTTCTGATGTAATATAAATAAATCACATTATATCAGAAAAAATTAGTCAATAATATAACACGAAGTGCAAATTCAAATGTGTACATATATGTGTGTACAGTCTGTAAAGTAAGAGCGTGTACAGGTTAATGTGTAGAAAAATTTATTTTTAATGATTTATAAGTACATGGATTTGTTGTACTACATGAGAAGAAAAATGCTATACCATTAATAATGAGTCCAGTCACCACCGGCATTGATAATTGCCTGACATCTCCGAGGCATACTTTCCACTAAGTTGACTGCGTATTCGTTCGGTAAAGACCTCCAAATGAGACGAATTTGTCGTGTCAGTTGCTTCAAAGTGCATACTCTTTTTCCTCGAAGCTTGTGCTTGAGATATGCCCACACATTTTCAATGGGATTTGCATCTGGCGATTGCGATGGCCAATCAAGTGTGACGATGCCAGACTGCTCTTTCCACTCGGTGCAAAGCTTGCTCCGGTGTTTCGTTGTCTTCCTGTAAGATCCAGTCCTCGTTTTTTTTTTATGAAACATCGTTCAGCAGTCGGCAACAAACACTTTTCATAAATTTTAAGCATTTTCGGAGCATTTAAATTGTATGTAAACAGTTGTAATGCTCCAAAACCCTGTTTTGAAAAGCAGCCCCAAAGATAAACTTTTACAGGGTGTTTAACGGTCCGTTGTATTAATCTATTGGTCAAGGTTGACCAAGAACGTCGGATGGTAATATATTCCCAAACAGAAGCTTCGTCCGTAAAGATCACGTTGCTCCAATCTCGGTCCAAATTCTCCTTTGTCCAAGCGAGTCTTTTCATCACATATTTTTCGCTTAACACGTGGTTTCTTCATTGTGCTTCAATATTTGATGTTATGCGCAAGGAGATGGGTTCGAATAGTTGTATGTAATATTTCTACACCCTTCTGTTTTAATTTTGCTGCTCCTTGTCGCAATGTTAAGGTCGGGCTTAAACAAATTCGCAATTTCTTTTTCCATGTTCGGCGTCACTTTGCCTATCGAGCCACGTTCTGGCAAGTCATCGAAATTTTTGATCTTCTTATATTGCTGAACCCACTTAGCGACGAACGATTTTGACTTTCCCATGTATTTAGCAGCCGCTACATATGACATTTTTGGTCCTTTCGGGTGGGAACAAAGGAACACAGCCTCGTAGCACGATGCGTATGCGGCACTCATGGCGGTTAACGTGTTTCTCAGATAAAAATTCGACACCAACTGAATCTTTTGTGACAAAGCATTCACGACAAAGATTCCATCTATCGACTCACAAAAAAACTAGAACGATATTTGAAGCCAACTGCCATTTATGCCGTACACACTCTTACTTTACAGACTGTATGTAAGTTTTTGTTTCAATTTGTCACGTTCCTATTGTATAAATCTCCTTTTATTGTGTAAATATTTATTTAATAATATTTATTTAATAATATTTATTTAATAATATTTATTTAATAATATTTATTTAATAATATTTATTTAATTATATTTATTTAATAATATTTATTTAACATTATTTATTTAATAATAAAATTGACAAAGCAGTAGAATTTAAAAGACTTAAGATATATACTTATATTTATATATATACTTACAAATATATTACTTTTTACAATCAAAAGAAGCATGAAAAAATTCGAGCGAAACGACGCGGCTGCGCATTCGTCCTGTGACGTCGCATGACATCTGACGTATGCGCACTTGCGATTATGACGGTTCGTAAATGGACCGTCTCATCTGTCACTTGACACTTCGCGCTTTAATTCCGAACATACACTGATTGGCGGGCAACTTCAAGTTTGTAAATAATTTTGTTGGCAAATTAAATGAAAGACGAGGCGCCGATAATGGAAAATGTCATCAGGACGATTTTCCAGATGACTTCGACCGGAATTAAATTTGAGGTATTTTCAGCTATTATGAAAAAAAAAAAAATTTAACTCGCCGAATATAACAATTATATAACAATTAAAATTGGGAGATTCTCAAATACTTTCACCGAATTTGCGCTTAAATTGAGGTTTTAATTAATCTGCATCGAGATCAGTTCTTTAATTCAATATTTATCAATATTTATCAATATTTATCAATATTAATTCAATATTTATCAATATTTATCAATATTAATTCAATATTTATCAATATTTATCGTCGGCGAATTTAAATATTTTTATTTTATTAAAATATTTTTCACTTGAAAAGTTTTCCGCGTACAATTTCGACATTTTGCCGGCGCATGGGAGTAAAAAAGTAAGGTTAGGTCTCGTTACTCACCAGAGACATATTCGTTTCTTAGGATAATCCTGTCGCTCCAAGAGGCTCAGAAAGTAGGGCAACGTGTGCGCTTTATTCCTGACTAAAATAGCGATCAACACGGTGGGTTCCTTCGAAATTATGTCGCACGTAGAAAACCACGCGAGGTTGACCGCGAAATAAATAAGATGGTACTTTCCGAGTATCATCGTGTAAAATTGACGCGTATAAAGTTAACGCGTTCTGGTTCGCGTGCGTCTCTCGATGCGATCTGTCAAGATTTAAGTACGGAAACAGATTATGTCGAGAGACGATCCGACGTGATCCCCTTTTCTGTTGTTATCATTGCAAACGTGGGCGGACGCAGTCGGTAAAACAGATCCCATGCAATGAATAATTTAATTTTTATTTTCTGAATACACTTTATATATAAATATATGTGTCTTCTGATTCCTTTCGTACATAAAGTATAAAATACTATCATTTTTTTTTGGTTTTATAGAAAATATCGTAGGAACTTATTTACAGGGTGTATCTTAAAAAGCTCCTAGTAAGCAAATAGCATTATTCCTGATTAAAAACCGAGTCATAAAGTCCTGAACTATTTTTTTTTCTAAAATTCATTAAATAATTAATCAGATTTAAGTATTAAAAAGATTTCTGGAAAGATGAATTGTTTAAAAATTAACACCAAACAGTTTATTTTTTTGCTTATCCAAATCTTCATATGTTGATAACGAGGAAGTTTGTCTTTTTATTGGCGCGACTTTACTTATTAATTACTGCTTTATTAAGCATTATGGGAAAAAATGGTTGAGGAAACTTTTCGACTCGATTTTTAATCAGGAATAACGCTATTTGCTTAGTGGGAGCTTTTTAAGATACACCCTGTATATTTATAATTGATTGGCGCATATTTTTTTCTGACATATTCTTAGTTTTGGCAGTAAATTATTGTTAATCAGTTTCCTGCAGGAAGAGTTTCTTTTCCTTCTTTTGCTTCTTCCGCTTTCGTTTTCTTCTTTTGTGCGTAACTGAGTTTCGTTTTATCGAATTCGAGAACCATTACTCCCAAATCTCCGCTATATCTATTCTTTGCAACCTAGCGATACAATAAAATAATGTTATAGTTGATTACACTTATATCGTTAAAGATGTATCATCTATTTGCAGACGTATACCTGCAAATATTTCTTTCCTCGTAAACTAGTAAGTCTTTTATCTTGTATAATCAATACATTATCAGCTTCTTGACTTGCTTTAGCACTGCCAAAAATAGATAAAGTCGTCAATTCTTCCTCTCGTTCTTTTCTTGGATGTATAACCAGAGTGACATGGCAATTATACTTTGTAGCAAAATTTCGAAATTCTGCTATGATTTTGTCCTGTTTCCAAAATCTATGATATAATGCTGTATAAATAAAATCAAATACATAAAGAAATCTTTAAAACATTTCTCTTACCTGTCCATGTGTTTCGATTCGTCTGATATACCCATCATAAATTGCATATTGTCAATTATTACATGAGCTATATCATGCACATATGTTGCATGTTCAACTGCCTGAAAAAAAAAATGAATGAGTGCCACCTGTACACAATGCTACGTTTTTTACTTATAACATGTGGCCATACATCCATAACAACTCTGATGTTCTGTTGACCATGAAAAGTCATAAAATAAATGGGTAACTTGTTGAAAGCATCTGCATACGTGTTAAACTTGTCCAAGTTGTCTTCTAAAGACACCTCTGCCATTTGTTGTAACATTGTTTTAGCTAGACGTGCATTTCTGATTTCGAAACTGCCCCATAATGTATTGACTCCTTGCATTGCTAAATCTAGCGAATACTCGCTCATAAATGTAGTTTTTCCACAACCTGAAAATATACTGACATGTGTAAAAATATACCTTGTAATGCAAATAAAATTTAGCTATTTTGTTGTTTCTCGATATAAAATAAATTTCGATTAATTACAATTATAATAAATATAATAAATATATATAATAAATTATAATATAAATATATATAATAATTATATAATTATAATTTATATTATAATTATATAATTATAATATAATATAAATTATAATATAAATATATATAATAAATTATAATAAATATATATATTATACCAGTGGGTCCAGTTAGAATTGTAAACTCTCCTCTTCTGTGTCCCTTTAAAATTCGATTTAGGGCAGGATATTTTTTCCACTTTACTCCTTGAACTTTATCTATATTTTGCAAATCACATAATACATCTTGTCTGAGATCATCAAAAGTAGTAATACTTTTGTGCCATATCGGTTGGGCATTTGCCAAAATACTTTTAAGGTCATAGCCCTTATCCTTGGCTAGCTTTGGTCTAGGTTGCGTATCAATTGGTCTCACAAAGTAGCATCTCTTTTCATTTAATTTCTTGGCAAACTGTCTGGCTGTGTACCAGCTAGGTTCGTCATTTCCAAACCATAAGATTAATTTCTTAAAACCCTCCAGACTCGGCAACAGCTGCTGCGGTAAGTTTTGTAAATTATATGGCAAGCAGATAATCATATTTGCTGCCTTTTGAGATGCTAATGCCAGCAAATCATGTATCGTTGGCACAATCACTGCAGTTCCATCAGCTCTAGTGCTTTTCTGCTTGTAACTGATAAATCCACCAACATTGCAAATAGGTACGGTTTGTTCTAATCCTGATTCACTAGAAAGAGTCTTATAACCAACAGTAATGTTTCCAAAGGCAATTAATGGAAAATATAATAATGATGGAGCAGCCGCATATACTCCATTTAATTGGGAGATGTCTTGTTGTGAGATTTCCTGTAACATTTTATATTTATATCATATAAATAGATACATTAAAATTATATACATTGAAATATTTATTAATTAACTTACTGGAAGAGAAAATGTATATCGAACTTTCTCGTACAAATCTGGCGATAAATCTGCCACTTGCTGATTAGATTTCATTATGTTATCCCATTTTGAAACATAATCTGTGTGAATTCTCATAGTATTTCTCAAAGACTCCAACTCCTGTGCATTATTTGCTTTGCTTGATTTTTTTAATAACAAAAACTTCTCCAATATGTTCCATTCGCCCTTAGAATTACATTTATCACACATAAAGTATCCTTGAATAAAATAAGTTTTTTTTTTAAGAGAAAAAGAATTATTTTAATTGTAAATTATCTACAAATTATTATTTTTTACCTGTTGTCTTATTAATATAAATCTTGGCCTTTTTTAATTTTTCAAAATCACATATAGGACATTCTATAACTATGCATGCATGTCCTTCGACAGTGGTAATCTGCTTTTGCCTCAAACTCTGTTTTATTTGAGATATCGAGAACCCAGGTACTGCTTCGTTTATTGTGCTACTAGTGTTATCAGTCTGATATAAACGATGATAAAATGTCCAAAATTTGTCGCACCTTTTTGTCCTTAAAGAGCGCATCAATAATTTTAAAGACATTATTTTTCTTGCTTGACAATTAAGACTTCATTAACAGCAGGATTATCTTTATCATCTAATCATATAGAAATTGTTCCTTTCAGTAATGTACAGTCGCATTTCGCTAATTTATCCCTTTTTCAATGATAATTTTATAAACACTGCTATAATACAATTTTCAATGATAATTTTATAAACACTGCTATAATACAATTTTTTAGACATCATCCAAATCTATTAATGAAAACCTATCTCGTGAAAGCTTACTATTGTTTACATCATTCATGAATCATATTTTCGTTATGTATAATAAGAATGATATTTAGAAGCCGATAATAATTTAATAAAATTTTCTAAGCTAATTTTCCCTGACAATGAATTAATTGTCCATAATTAGCACACTATACAGCATTCATTGATAATTATATTGATGATTGTAAATAACAGAACCGGCGTGTGTAAAGCACGTGGTACGTATGTACGTGGGGAGAAGGGAGAGAGGGGGAATTATTTCTTTCAGTTCTCCTTATTGCTACACTTTCCACACTTAAAGTGTAAATATAAAGGGTGTCCCAGACCATAGTACACCCCTTTTAAAATGAAAATAAATGAAATCTTAAAATTAACCTTGAAAGTAACTATGATGAAATAATCAAGGTCAATTTTAAGATTGACAGAGGCATTTTTAGAAAAAATGTTTGATACAAAAGTTTCTTATTTTTTCACAATTCGAATCTGTAATAAAAAGTACATACCACGTTCCCCTAAAAGAATTTAACTTCCGTTCCGGATGGCGTATTTCCGGTCGGAATCAAAAGTTAAAAATATCACCATTTGATAGAGCGTATCCGATTTACTTAAAAATTGTTCGCGATATTTGATAAAAGCCATTTATTTTTATTTTAAAAGGGGTGTACGGGTGATCTGGGACACCCTGTATACACACGATCTAAAAAAAGAAAGAGCTAAGGATTTTTGAAAAAGTGTAGTTGAGGATTTTTGCCAATTTTATAGGATGACATTTTGGTTTTCTGAATTGTTGAATTTGCAAATAGAATAAAGGATTTTTTATGATTGTGATTAAAAAATTCATTGATTTCGTAATTTTCTTTTTTCTATTTTCTTCCTCTTCTTTTTTTTCGGATAAATGATTGACCAATCGGAATAAATTTTCGCTCCTCTTACCCTGATTGGTCAATCAAACGCTCTCTTCTGATAGGTGGATTTACGAACGCAATCCTAGACGCTGTGATTTCTCGTGTTGTCTCGTGGAAATATCGGATTTATAAATTAGCGTCGATATATTATTCGATAATAAAATTATTTTAATTAATATTGCTAAAATTAATTAAAAGTATCATGGTTGTATTTACTTGTAACCATTGTGGCGATACGGTGCAAAAGCCCAAAGTGGCTAAACATTATCAATTTAGGTGCCGGAACGTGCCCTTTTTAACCTGTGCGGATTGTTTAAAGGATTTTCGGTAAGGATTCATAAATGTTGAATTAAAAAAAAATCTTTGCGAATATATAATTGATTTACACATTATATTATTATATATATTCCTGGACAAAATTAACGCATAATTTTTTTCACTTTTTCTTTAAAAGCTGATATTTAAATTTTAACAAAAAATTTTAAAGAAGTAAAAAAAAAATTATGCTTATGTTAATTTTGTCCAGGAGTATGTATATTATTATATATTATATTATTAATATATAATAATATTATATATATAATAATAATATAATAATATATTATAAATATTATTTATTATTATTTATTATTATTATAATAATATTATATTATAAAATATTATAATAATATTATATTATATTATTATATTATATATATTATTAATATTATATAATATTATATATAATATTATATATTATATATATTATATATTATATATAATATTATATATTATATATAATATATAATATTAATATTATATAATAATATATATTATTAATATAAATAATATTATATTATATTATTATATTATTATATTATATTATATTATTATATTATATGTCATATATTGTATGCGAATGATCACATGCTTTTAATGTCTTGGATTATTTCAAGGGGCGAGGAATATCTTGCACATACCAAGTGTCTAACTGAGGCTGAACGATACGGTGGAAAAGATTATGTTGCAAAGCCTAATGCAAATAAAGGCGAACGCAAGCAGCAGGAATGGATTTGCGTTGTTAATAATTTGTTGAACGGAACAATAGATTTATCCAATGCAGAAAGAAACTTTCTTCAAAGTTTATCGAAATATGAAAATATACCAAGGAAGAAGGCTAAATTCCTTAACTTCATACGCAGTGCAATGGGCAATCGTGTAAATATGACAATTGTGGAGAGCGTTTGGAGTAAAATGGAAAATGCACATAAACAAAGTCAAGATTCTGCTGTACATACTCAGGAACAAAATACTACACAAACTCTAGGGCAAAATAATGGTGAGGAATTATAGTGGTTAAGTTTAAAAACAACACTGAAAAAAATTCCTTTTAGTATATATATAATATCGATCAATATTAATAAATAATATAGATAAAATAATGAAAAATATATTTGTTTTTTGATAGATAAGACAACATGCATTCAAAACAAAGATTCAAATCAGTCAATTGATAATCAGAATATTGTTGAGAATCAAAATAATGAAAATATATGCAAAGAAAATAATTTTTCGAAGCATCAAAATGGAAACAATGAACCGTGTGAGACTAATAGTGATAATGTGAGTGAAAAGAAATCTAAGAAACGACGATTGAAATCAATTAATGATCAAATATCAGAGGATCTTCAACCTGCTGCAAAGATTTCAAAAACATCCACTTTAGAAACGAACGAAAATGAAAGTAACAATAATCCATTTGATTGGAAAAAAACTATTTTAGATGTTGTACAAGCTAAAAGTGAGGTATCTTTAAAAAAACTACAAAGCAAAGTTATTAAAAAATATATATGTTATATTTCTAACGTACAAGACGTATGTAATCCAACTGACGTAGAACGTGAAAAAGCTATTGCAAAGTTTAATAAGACATTGAAAAAGCTGAAGAAAGCATCTGCAATATGCATTCTAGAAGATATAATAAAATTACCCACTCTAGTAAAATAATCATTTTCATGCAAAAGTACTGGAGAAAAATGCAAAGTAATGTGTTATATAAATAATGTGAAAGAAAAAAGAAACATTTTATGTAATTGTATACATAAAAAAAACTATCAATGCAATAAATCAATTTGCAAATAATTTTTTATCTCACATTATATATTTTCACTAATATATTTTTATAAAATACTTAAGTTTATAATTTATAAAACTGTGAATGTGACTATTGTAACTTAATTTATTGTATAAAAGTCTATTTTTATACACCTATGAGAAATATATTTCTTACAGTAAATACTTAATGAAATAACAGTTGTTGGAAGATATGTAATCTTATTGCCTATGAGAGTGTATTAATATTTATCACTTAGAACACAAACTTCTTTCATAAATAATACTCATAAATAATAATCACTTTCATAAATAATATACACAGTCTCTTAATTTTTGTTTTATGTGTAGTTTACTTTTAATTTATGAAAATCAGATGGAAAGTCATGTAAAAATTTTTCAGAATACCATGCATGATCACTCATAGTTGCTAAGAGACCATTTGTAAGTACTTTGGCATTGTTAGCTCCAAAATAGATTGGTTGTTGATCGTACAATTGTGTCACTGTTCCTCCTAAAGCGCTATATTAAAAAACAAAAATACATAAAATAAATAAATACTGAATAATTAGACTAACATACAGCAAAACAATTTAATAATACTTTAGAATTGCTGTGCCTGCACATATATCCCATTTTTTGATAGCAGTTGTATGAACATATGCTGTTGCATTGTCAACAGCTACTTCCAAGAACTTATATCCTAAAATAAAACTTTTTTATAATAAAAACTGGAGATATGAAAAAAAAAAATAAATAAAAGCTAAGTTAATAAGAAATAAATACATAATATATAAAAAGCTCAAAAATCTATATTATGTATAAAAATTATTAATTTGTTTGCAAATCACTGCAAATCATTTGGAAATCATTGTATCAGCAGCATTGTACAGCTCTGTTTTTATTACAAAAGTATGATTATTAATTTTTAAAACATTTTTTTACCTGCACCAGCAGCAGAAATAATTTCAACATTGTTGCCAAAGGCAACTTTAGATGCATTTTTAACTTGTCCAGCGTGTGAAAGAGATACAATCAGAACAGGTGTTTTATTATCCTTTGTCTGTCGAATAAAAAGTAGTTAAGATGTTTCAAAATTTACTTTATTTCAATTATATACACTATTATCTTTTGATCAGATTTTTAAATTTTCATTACCTTGGGCAAATTTTTCAAATTTCTTGATACACCATGGTTAGTCCATGTCCAAAACAAACTATAATTCTGCCTTGTTTCAAATGGCTTATATATAACACCAATAATTGGTTGTCCTTTCACAGCTATACATACCATAGTAGATACATATTGAAGTAAATTCTCTAAAAATATAAAATATAAAATATTGTAAAATATATTAATAATTTAATTTTAAAAAAGCTGGATAACAACAAAAACAAAATTATTGAATGTCTTTTTAGATACCATTTCATAAAAATAATTGAATCATTTGCTCAGAAAATATTTAATAATAGGAAGGATATTTAGCAAGTTTAAAATACAATGAAAACATAATATGTTAATAGTTTTTGTATCAGTTTAGTATTTTGTATCAAATTTAATTTCTCTATTTTGCCTATATTATTAATAAATTGTTTATTTAAGGCAATGATTATAGGCTTTACCCACAATTAATATTTCTGCAATAATCTATAATATGGATTTTATACTATTATTACAAAACTGTGTATGTATGATATAATTGTCTCTTTGTATCTGTCTTATATCCATAAATCTTTTGTATCTTTTTGTATCATTTGATCCTGAAAATAATCAATACCTCTTCAAGATCTAATCATAGACAAAAATATTAAATTGCAGTTACAGATATTTTTCTCATGTTCACTTATCTAAATTTTTAAGATTTTCTTTTATAGAATTTATATGTGTGTAACATAAAAGTGTATTCATCACAAATCTTACAAATAATCCTACAAATTATATAGAAAATAATTTTGTTAAAAATATTAGAATATTATTGAAATAAAGATATATTGTTACCTGTAAACTCTTTGGTAGCATCAAGAGGATCTATCCAAATTGTAATATCATTAATGTTCACAATATCATCGCTTATATTATAACCATCGATACTTTTAACAGAATTCTTAATATTTTCTACTACAATTTGGTCACAATCCTGTGACGTTTCCTCGGATATCACAGTAATTCCTGGAAATGATTCCGTTAAAGCACGATACATGGCACAATGAGATCTGTAATCTGCCGCTGTTACTGGGTCATTGACTCCTTTAAAGGTAATAGGAAAAGAATCATGTTTTAATTTACATTCTAAAATATATTGAAGAAAAGATATGATAATAGTTACATATTAAATACCAAGTTATAGCTTATTGGAATAACAGAATACTAAGTTGTATACCTTCTCTGGTTTGGCCTTTGCTCTCTATTTTAAATTTAATCTGATCGTGCACAGCCACTACTTCGGATCCTCCAATTTCTGCCGCTCTTATAGCAGCGGCGAGAAGCTGCTTCAAGGACACGTCCTTCTCGTTCCTGTGTCGATTTGCACATAAATAGATGATGCCACAAATCACCACGGCCACGCATAAAACTATTCTCTGCGTACGTACACCCATCCTATTGTACATTACAAGTCAGGTGGCTGGTAATTAACAAATCCGCGTGTCGAGATGCAGTCTTCCTGTCGCGCACACCTTTTTAGTGCGATTATAAAAATCCTGTTGGCAAATAATAATGATGACAATTAACAATGCAGTTCTTTTTTTAATCTCATTAATAATTCCATCATTAATTAGTGCGGATATAACGTACTTTCGACACTACCTAAGCTTTTGTGTAAAAGCAATTTGCGAAATTTGTATCGACTAGTCATCGTCCTTTTAATTTTTGCAAAATAATTTTTTTGCAAGATATAATTTTTCTTGTGGTTAGATTTATATGCTTATCCAATATTATTGATCGAATCGATGAAACAAAAAATATAAATCCTTTTTATAATTTTTTATTTGTCAACAAGAGACGACTGTATCGTGTTTGTAAATTAAATTCGAGATGTGCAAAATTTTCTCTTAACTCGATTTTAATTGCGCTTTCCGCGAGTTTAGTGTTACTTTCGGAGACAACTTTTCTCGCGCGTGCGCAGCATAAAATGACTGCGAGATCCAGGGATGTGCGGCTAGAAATTTAATATTTTTATTTTTATTGACACATTTAATATAAAAAACGACACTACTGCAAATCTAAAGAAATTTGCAATTATTTAATACATATTTTTTTCACTGATTTTTACAGCATTTTTAAATCTCCCAGTAAACACCAAATAACAGTTATATAACAGTTATACAGTGCCTACCAAAAATTCCGGGACGGTCGAATATTTCATAAATTATGCACTTTAAAAAGAAATGTTTCAGAAAAAAGTTGTATGGCTTAAAGGGGGCTATAAGATAGTGCCATTGGTTTGACCTTGAAAAGTCGTTTGAAGGTCACGTGGAGGTCACCTTCAATTTTTTAAATGGAACCACCTATTTTATTAAATATTCTGGTAGCTCACATCAAGAGCTTTCCAAAACTCTACAATTAAGTTAGTTTTCATTAAGTACTTTCCGAGTTATGAAGCTTAAAATCATTTCTTAATTTTACATAAACCGTAAAATATCTTGTAAAATATTCATTTTTCAATTACCTTACCTTAATACTTTATGTACAAAATAATGAGAAGAATCAATTGGTGTAAAGAAAAAACATAGTTGTTTCTAAGAAAAAATATGTAATTGTTAATTGCAATTTACATATTTTTTCTTCGAAACAATTATGTGTTTTCCTTACACCAATTGATTCCTCTCATTATTTTGTACATAAAAGTATTAAGGTAAGATAATCGAAAAATGAATATTTTACTAGATATTTTATGGTTTATGTAAAATTAAGAAATTATTTCAAGCCTCATAACTCGAAAAATACTCAATGAAGAAATACTTTATTATAGTGTTTTGGAAAGCTCTCGAGATAAGATACTTGAATATGCAATAAAAAATAAATGGTTCCATTTAAAAAATTGAAGGTGACCTTCACGCGACCTTCAAACGACATTTCAAGGTCAAAGCAATGGCATCGCCTTATGGCCCCCTTTAAGCCATACAACTTTTGTTTGAAACATTTCTTTCTTTAAAGTACGTAGTTCATGAAATATTCGACCGTCCCGGAACTTTTGGTAGGCACTGTATAACTGTTACGTAACAGTTACATGACATGTAACAGTTATATTGTTGAATGGGAAATTATAACAAAATTATATAAATGTTACTTGGTTTCTGCTGGGTTATAAGAATAGAGGATCTAAAAAAAGCGTCTTTTTCTCTAGGAATTTGACACTTCGATGAAGCCATGTTCAACGCGCATGTGCGAGAAGCTGTTTCTGCGAATATCGCGCAGACGTAATTTTTTGGCGGGAAGCGCCGACTGGATGTGAATTTCGAAATCGCTTGCTCGCCGATCAAACGTCGCTTGAATTCTCTCCCCAAATAAACCGTCAAACATCAAACGTCAAACGTCAATGACACAGAGAGCCGTTTGAAAGCTTCCAGTGGAGGAAATTCTCGGAGATGCTGACGATACAATTCGGCCAGTGCGGGAATCAACTCGGACGCGACTTATTCTCCAGGGTGTGCGCCGACCTCGAGAGCCCGAACACCGGCGTGTCTCATGGGGCCAATTACGAGTACGTGGAGAGCACCATCGAGAAGTGGTTCGACGGAATGACGGAACGCGGCCGGCATCTGGCCAGGGCGATTCTCGTCGACACCGAGGAGAAGGTGGTGAACGGGATGTGGAAGGACCCCCAAGCTTCCTGGACCTATCGAGCGAGCAACGTCGTCTGTCAATCTGGTGGCGGTTGCGCCAACAATTGGGCCTACGGCTATAAGATAAGCAGTCAACGACTTTCAGATAGCATGGTGAGTGTCACTCGACGAGAGATTGAGAAATTGGATCGTTTCCAGGGATTCCTCCTGCTCCTCAGCTCGGCCGGTGGCACGGGATCCGGTGTTGGAAGTCGGATGGTTGAGACTCTACGCGACGAGTACGAGACCAAGTCTATAGTGGCTTCGATTGTGTTGCCATTCACCTTCGGCGAAGTCTCCACTCAGAATTACAATACTGTATTGACTCTGGCGGAGTTTTCCGACAGAGCAGACTTTTCTGTGCTGTTCGAGAACCAGCAGATGCACGCTATGAGCACCAGTTTGTTGAATAATTCCAATACCATGTTATGCGACATGAACAATATCATTTCTGAGAATTTGCTCGCCGCCTTTCAACCTAGCGACGAAGCCAGATGCAACATGAATTTCTTAACATCCAAAGTAGCTGCGCATCCCAATTTTAGGTTTGTAACGATCAAGAGTGCTCCACATGTTCCCGCAACATCTCTGCAATATGAACCCAATTACAAGTGGAACGTGTACGTACGTCACTTGAAGCAGACTCTTCGAATATCGAAATCGCAGGTGGAATTGACAAATGTTCAATTAAAAGCGCCAAATCCTTCACTGAGCAAAACAGTTGTGTCTCATACGTACAGCCCTTGTGTATCCAATATTCTTGTGACACGTGGCAAATCTGTAGAGAATGACGCTATAATGTTGGAAGATCTGCAGAAAAGGCATTTGTATCCAGAGTGGATTGCATCAACAGAGTCGTTGACTCACTTACACCAGGAACGCAAGTTCTTAAATAGAGACAAGTTTTTAGCATTGATCACCAACAATTCAGAGATACATCGGCCATTGGACACGTATCTAGACAAAGCATGGAATTCTTATAAATTCGCAGCCTTCTTACATCAATATAAACAGTTTGGCTTGGAGGAAGACGATTTCTTGGAAGCTTTTACAAAAGTTGAGAACATAGTGCAGGAATATAAAAGCTTGAAGAGTGGAAATTAAGTTTTTTATGTGATTATTGTGTGCATGAAAAACTGACATTTTTTATTAATTTGACATGTTTGTAACTTTGACTCAAACAAGAAAACAAATCTGTGTTGTTTTTCAGTTACGACTTGAATTTTAAAGTTCTTAGATAATACTTTATGCTTATTTGTGGATATGACACAGTAGCTTACTAGAACCAAGAAACTTTCCACAATTTTTTACACAACTTAAGCATATATAATACTTGCACTTATTATTTATATTTGTTCAATTCATCTTGAAAAGTTGACGATTCTGAACCTTTACAGATTTTTCCTAAAGAATGATCCTTTTGCACCGACATCTCTTCACTTTCAGGTACATATTTCTATTTATACATTTATATTTATATCAGGTATATATTTATTTCTCAATTTATTCTTCCTACTTTTGCCAAGTGTATTATGCGTAGGCGTTTACGGGGGACCTTGAGTATCACGGTCACGGTTACTACGAGATGGGCGAGCTGTGATGTCACTTGGGAATCGACCGAGCTGCTGGACTACGGGACATGACGTGAAAGAGACTCTCTGTAGAAGGAGGACAAACGGAGAAAAAAGGAGGCGGCGAAGGGAGGGAGGAGAACGAACGAGCGAGGAGAACCAATGAGCGAATATGCTTACCGAGGGAAAAGCGAGATGAGACGAAGTCATTTGTGTCGACGTAATACTATGCGTCTGAGCCTCGTCTATTTAGCGAATCTTCTGCGCAATTGCCGTCCCTGAATCCCAGCTCCGGGATGGAAATCCATACGACACACACACGTATATATGTCGCCAGATATACCTTCTGCGCAATGTGCACGCGTCGCAGAGAGATAGAGCAAAAATAAAGGAGTCGACCGTCCCGTTTCTTGGAAGAGGGGAACGTTTCCAGGAATCTCCGTCAGCCCCCCCCCTCCCTCTACCTCCCATCAACTCGGAAACAATCCAAGGAATGATCGAGCGATGGAATCTCGGCGGCGAATTAGCCAATTCCAAGACTCAATCTCGTATCCCCAAATATCTACGTGATATTTTTCTTCCTCTAGTATGTATATTGGATTCATAATTCAGAAAAATTCTTAATACTGAATATTGTTTCTTTTTTTTTTTTTTCATTATATCAAATATATATTTATTGCATAATGAATACGAGAATAAAATTTTCCAGTCGCTTTAATCAAGCACAAAGATATTCATATGCATTGATTTGTAAATAGGAAGTTTAAAATTATTTTATTTTCCATTCATTGACGTGTTTTTTGCTTTACAAACAACATACTTAAAAGAATAATTTAAAAATTGAAATTTTCTTTTTTATATTTCTTTTATTTACAGGTTCCATTTTAATCGACCATTTTAATAAACCTGAATAGTTTTTTAAATTTTGATTGTAGTTAGTTTTCATTAAGTACTTTCCAAGTTGTGAGGCTTGAAATAATCTTTCAATTTTACATAAACCATAAAATATCTAGTAAAATATTCATTTTTTGATTATCTTACCTTAATACTTTTATGTACAAAATAATGAGAGGAATCAATTGGTGTAAAGAAAAAACATAGTTGTTTCTAAGAAAAAATATGTAATTAATTGCAATTTACATATTTTTTCTTCGAAACAATTATGTGTTTTCCTTACACCAATTGATTCCTCTCATTATTTTGTACATAAAAATATTAAGGTAAGATAATCGAAAAATGAATATTTTACAAAATATTTTACGGTTTATGTAAAATTAAGAAATGATTTCAAGCCTCATAACTCGGAAAGCACTCAATAGAAAAATACTTTATTATAGTGTTTTGAAAAGCTCTTGAGATGAGCCACAAGAATATGTAAAAGCACATAGGGTGTCCCATTTAAAAAGTTGGAGGTGACCTTCACGTGACCTTCAGATGACTCTTCAAGGTCAAACTAATGACACCGTCTTATGTGCCCCTTAAAACCATACAACTTTTGTCTGAAACATTTTTTTCTACAATCAAAATTAAAAAATTTATAAATTATTTTAATATCTAGTCAGTTAATCAAAGGTTCATTGACAATAATGTAACCGACCAAGACTAGCCTAAAAATTTTTATTTATTTGTTTCGCCCATATGATTGTGGTCATTTAAAATTAAAAAAGTTATTCAGGGCGATTAAAATGGGACATCCTGTATATTTTTTTTATTCATCTTCCAATAATAGTCTAACTTTAATCTTGCTTTCTTTAGGTCCTGGAGGATTCACGGTGCGAGGATAAAAACAGATGTGAAAATGGCATTGAAAATGGCGTGGGAGGACGGCAGAAGTCAATAGAAGAGGTAAAGGGAAATTATTTTCGAAGAAACGTCTCGCTTCCGGACTAGGTCGCAGTTGACGGAGGTTCCCTCGCGGTCATCGCCGACTTGCGGTTTGAATACCGAAGAGGCGTGGTTTGCGTCGTCGACGTAGAAACCTGTTCGTTCTCCGCGCCTCATCTCGTTGCAGCGTGTGACGTCAGCTGATCCCCGTCTCCGCAGCCGACCGACCGCTTCCTCCCTCGCCCCCGCGTTCCCCGGCGATCATCGGGCGCTCTCTGGCGTCGGAGTCGCGGCACGATGACGCGCGCCATTTTGTCCAGTGTCCGTCGAACGCGTCGTGCGTCGGGGTGCGTACCGGGGCTGCGGGGTTGCTTGTGCGAAACAGAATCCGAGAGCGCTCAGGACAAACTTGTGCGAGCGGGCGAGCGTTTCTCGTTGCTCGGCTCGAGGCGGGTGTAATATGTATTGCGTGCCTTCTAGATTCGTGTCTGTGACGACGACGAAGAGGAAGAGCGTCTCCTCGAGTTGTGAATTTCATCGCTGCGAGCTGCGAGGGCGGATGTAGCGTCGCGACGACGCTTGACAAGTCAACGACGCGCGAGGATAGTGAATGGCGACGAGGATCGCGATCGTGCGAGCACTCAAGCTCGTCGTCGGGAGCAGCGTTTAGCTGCAGGTGAATGTCGAGAGGGTGGCAGCGCGCCGTTTCTGATCGATAAGAGACGCGGGCGCGCGCGCGCGCGCCCGCGTCTCTCTTCGTTTGTCCTTCTTGGAGAAGGAGATGCGTTCGCTCATCCCCTATTTTTCGCGAGAGGGAAATGCTCGCGATTCGACTGGAGCGATAATACGCTCGCTCGCTTGTGCGAGTCGAGCCTGAGAAAAGTGAAAGCTCGCCTCGATCTCGACCGCGGGACCGATGATTTTCTGCCCGCAATATTTTTTGCATTCGCCGCATTTAGGATGGCGTAGGTGATGGACGCCGGGATTTAGGGTGCAGGTATATTTCTAGACCTTTTGTGGCGGAAAATGCGAGGGGAGACAAAGGGATAGGCTGGTTGTAGCTTGGACATGTATATTTAATGCTTTACAATATATATATATGATTTTATAAACTATTTAAATTTCGTCATATATTTGGTGAAAGAGAGGTGACATTTTACATTGATTAAAAAGAGTCAAAGGTCAAAGATGAAAATGGCTTAACAACTTTGAGAGGATCAACTGTCAAAGAATGATTTAATATTTTGAATTTTTTTTTGATACACGTTTTTCTGAGAATTTGTATGATTTTTGCGCATCGATGCATTCTAGTCCGTGCAACCGATTTGCTAATAGTGCACAAGTACAACTAAAATATGCTCTCACTACGACTAAAAAAGAATACATTAAATGAAATTTGACATAAAAGAATGTTAGTTTCTTTGCATTTTTTCTGAAAAAATTTAGATTATTATAATTCGTAATTCTGATATAATTTTGTAAATTTTTATATTTTTATTGTTATTATTTACATTTTAATTTTTGCACTTTTAATAATTAATTTTACTACATCATGCTTTACTCTTTTGCTCATAATTTGAATTTAATATTGGCGATTAACTTAAATTTGATATAATAGAATGTTAGTTTCTTTGCATTTTTTCTGAAAAAATTTAGATTATTATAATTCGTAACTCTGATATAATTTTGTAAATTTTTATATTTTTATTGTTATTATTTACATTTTAATTTTTGCACTTTTAATAATTAATTTTACTACATCATGCTTTACTCTTTTGCTCATAATTTGAATTTAATATTGGTGATTAACTTAAATTTGATATAATAGAATGTTAGTTTCTTTGCATTTTTTTCTGAAAAAATTTAGATTATTATAATTCGTAATTCTGATATAATTTTGTAAATTTTTGTATTTTTATTGTTATTATTTACATTTTAGTTTTTGCACTATTAATAATTAATTTTACTACATCATGCTTTACTCTTTTGTTTGTAATTTGAATTTAATATTGGTGATTAACTCTTTTATTTATAAGAATTTATAAGAACTCTTTTCATTATAAGAATAATTATATTTCATTGATTTAAGCAACGGTACAACAAATGTCAAATTTTTGAGAAAAGGAAAAAAGATTATGCGCTATTTATTATTATATTTTATTTTCTTCTATCAGATCCGCATAATTATAATAAATGAATAGTATTTAATGAATATATAAATACTATTAATGAATATATAAATACTATTAATATTACAAACATACAGGGACTCTATTATTTCATCTTAGCTTCTTGCTTCATAATATCACAATGATTAGACATAAATACACGTCAAAAAACTTATAAAAAATTGAGAAATGATAATCTTAATAGCAATTCTTATAATATTTATAATTAATAATGATTTGATATCCATAGGGCTATTTTTTCCGAGATAAATCGATCGGTTGGGCGATTAATCGTGGGGCCAATCGTCTTTGTAATCACTGACAGCATTGCGATCACTGGTCATTATCAAGTAGTGATTTCGATGCCAGGATGCACAGCTAAAGCGTACGCAAACTATCCTTTAAAGATTGAACCTCGCGATTCATGTGTTTGCTTATGTGACTTCGAAGGGCAGTTTCATTCATATATAACAGCTTCATACGATCGATACTACACGTGAGACAGATACAATCTTTAAATATATTTAGACGTATATATATATATATATATTTTTTTTTTTTTTTTTTCAATTTACTTCGTATTTTTATTCACATAGATGGAAAGTATTTGATCGTGCATATACAATGTGATGAAATTCTTAATTAGGATTATTCATTCGATTTATTTATGTTCGTTCTATTTTTTTGATGTGTGCTTCTATTTTAAATTTTATATATATTATATTAATATTGAATTTTAAATTGCTTTAAATTTGTTTTTATTTAATCAAAGCCGCAGAAAGTCCGAATAATATTTCTGAAAGCAGATGAACAATTAATAATTATTCCTTATAATTAACAAATAATAATCATTCTTTATAATGAACAAATAATAATCATTTCTTATGTAAAATATTAGAACAGAATTTTTTGTCTGTAATATTCTTTCCTGAAAACTAAGAACATTGTTGATTTAAAGAAAGAAAATAACTTTTGAAAGCATTGCAGTTTTATTTAATAATAATGTCGAATACAATTGTCATAAAAATAAATATATAAAACTTTTACTCAAGGTCAGATTTTACAAAAGACAATAACCGAGCAATAATTAACATGCAAGGAGCTAAATCAATTTGTTTGGCCGATGAAATATTATGGTTACAAGTACTGATGAATAATAATATATAAAAAATTTTCAATAGACACCGAGATCAAGCAACACTCGCATCTATTTAACGGCGTAGAAAATACATTTTTATTTTTTTTTTTACCTTCGCTTTTGTCCCTAAGGGACCGCACCCGTGTGCAGGTCCTAAAAAAAGTATTTTTACCTTTGTGTACGTAGGGCAACCTGCACGCACGTTATTTTGGACGAAAGTATATCTACATCATGAGTTCACTCAACTCATTTTTACATCGTATTTTCTATAGAAAATAATATTTATGCGTAGATAAAAAAAGATAAAGATAAAAAGAGAGAGAGGAACGGATTTAAAGATCTAGTTCTACATAAAAAGAGAATTAGCTTTTGAAAACAAAATAGAGATTAAATTTGAGAAACAAATGTTACTATTATGAACAAGCCATTATAAAATTCTACTATAAACATTCCAAGATAAAATTTGTAAGTTTATTATCAATATACATTGAGATTAAACCTTAATAAAATTAAGTTAAAGAGAATTTAATAGTTTCCATGAAATGATTAGAATTTAGAAGGAGAAAGAAAAGTAGAGTTTCATGTACAGAGTCCTCTAAAAGTTCCGGTCAAATATCAAAATCAAAGCGTTTTTGCTGAAAAAAATGTTTCAGACAAAATTTTTAGTTTTATAATTTTAAAAGTTCTATTGAACGGTTATATTCGTTTGAACAAATGTTTTTTAAAAACAACTATGTATTTTTCTTATACCAATTGATTCCTCTCATTATTTTGTGCATAAAAGTAATATAATCGAAAAAGGAATATTTTACGAGATATTTTATAGTTTATGTAAAATTAAGAAATTATTTCCTCATAACTCGAAAAGTACTTGGCAGAAAACTTTATTATAGTATTTTGAAAAGCTCTCGAGATAAGCTACAAGAGGTGAAATGGATATTACTATTTAATGGAACTTTTAAAACCTTTAGATTTTTATCGGAAACATTTTTTTCAAAAATGCTTTTGAGATATTTGACCGTTTCGAAACTTTAGAAAGACCTCTAATATAAAATATATCATTTTTAATGTTATCTTTTGTGTATATATATATATATATATATATATATATATATATATGTGTAGTATGTCAATTTATTTCATCATACTTTCATCATTATCACATGAACTGATAAAAATAATCATAAAATGTTTTTTCTTTTCTAGAGAAATAAGATGAACATTCCCGATTTTTGTTGCTTTTTTTTTAGAAAGTAACAGCATGTACAATATTGTATACAAGTCATATGAGCAACGAACTGGCATATGCGATGTTAATATTCGCTGCTATTTCTGTCAGATGGTCGTATGTAAGTTGTATCTGATCGAAGTCGCAATTTACGTACACGGGGTGCATAGAATTAGAACGCAGAGGGTATATATCCCTCTCGTTAAAATCCATATCTTTCATAAAAATTGGCAACTCTTTGGAATATTACTGAACTATGTTTATTTTTTTGAAACAAACTATTTCTGCGCAGCTTCCTCTTTTCATTTTGGAAGCTTCATAAAATTTTTATTAAATATTTCATGTAAAAATTATATATTGTTCATTTTAGAATCAAGCTACATTAATATAAAAAAACTGATAAAACTTGATATTATATAATTATAATTATAGAACTAAAATACACGCATCTATTCGAAATTAGTGTTAAACATTTGACAAAGAATATAACAATCGAGTAATTTAGAAATAAAATTTCTTATATTTTTTTGGAGTTGATGTCGAAAATGAATTCGCAGTTATATTATATTGCATTGAATGCGTGTCAGAGGATTAACGATGACACTTCAGAATTTGCTGGGTTCAAGTAACCTGGAACTTGGCAAGACTTCGATCCAGGTGCACAATATTAAAGGCACACCTACTCGTGACTCATTCACTCATTGGAAGAGTTCCTGGTTTCTTTCGCCCTTTGTGTAAGGGATGTATATATGAAGTGAATATAACTTACTATATCTCATTTACTTAAGCCACCAGTAACTTATCTTCTAAATGTGCAGGAAATATATAAATTTTTTCCAACTAAATTTATAATTAAAAAAAAAACAAAAGATTTATTCTTGTTCTCGAATATTATTTTTGTTCGAATTGTCCATGAAATATATCTACCATAAAATATATCTACTATAAAATATAATTAAAAACCATTAAAATATCTAAATCGTTATCTTGAGCAATTAAATCTTAAGATAATGGAAATGTAGTTTGATTATCGATTTTAATCTTAATTTGAAATTCGAACTTTATTTACTTTGAAATATTAAAATGCAACTGTTTAAACATGTACTTGATAACTTATGTATCAGTCGAATCTTTTGTTTGAGTTTTATTGGGAAAAACTATTTACTATTTATTTAAGTTATCATTTATTTAATACATGACATCATTTATTTAATACATGATATCATTTATTTAATACGTGACACATGACATTATGTACATGAAAATTTTGATCATAGATATACGTAGTAGAATAGGGCCTCTCATTTATCTTTTGTTTATATTATTTCTTATAACTCTTCATAATTGTTTACAAGATAATCTTAATTATCGGAGAAACATGTAAATAAAAGGGTCGTGTGAACTCAAAGTCCAAAGAATCTGCGTGTCAAATAAAGTGAAACGAATACTAAGGTTTGGTATGCGAACTGATAAAAATACCACGCCTCTTACTAGATCGGCATTCCATTGAGCCCGGTTGCCTCTCCTCCCCATTAAATATTATGCCAAAGGTGATTTCTTACTCCTCTCTTTTTTTCGCTTCAATCCATTCCAACGTGGTAACAGGCAACTAAGCGCGGATGCTGCACGAGGACAAATTTTTAGCATACCTGCGTAGTGTTGGATAAAGTGATTGGCGGAATCTCAGATCAAAATTTATTTATATTTTTATTTTTCATCGGTTTAATGCTTTATATTAAAATCAATTTATAATTATTTATAATTATAATTGTAATTATATTTCTCTAGAATATTATAATAATTTATAATTATAATTATAATTGTAATTATTTATTTCTCTAGAATAAAATGTGTATATTAAAATCAATTTATGTGTATATTAAAATCAATTTATAATTATAATTATAATTGTAATTATTTATTTCTCTAGAATAATAATATATAATTATAATAATTTATAATTATAATTATAATTGTAATTATTTATTTCTTTAGAATAAAATGTGTATATTAAAATCAATTTATAATTATAATTATAATTGTAATTATTTATTTCTCTAGAATATTATAATAATTTATAATTGTAATTATAATTGTAATTATTTATTTCTCTAGAATAAAATGTGTGAATGAAGTTTTAAATGATTGTAATAAAAAATCAAGAATTGAAAGATGCAGGATAATATTTTCATGGATTAAATGTTTGAATAAATTCTTTTAAAATTTATGATATAATTGTTAATATTGAAAAAAGAGAAATGGAATGAACGTAATGTTTTATGTTTCAAACATTTTATCAAAAATAGTACGACAATTAAAGTTATCTTAATATAGAACGACAATTAAAGTTATCTTAATCGCAAAAATTTCTCCTTTTCTTCTCATAATTCATTTAGCTTTATTTTATTTATTATCTTTATATAATTATGTACTTTCTTTTATTTTTTAGATTATTTATGATTTGTATATATTTTCGTATACATTTTTGTAATATTTTCTAAAGATAAAATAGCGTTGAGAAATCCAAATTTCGCTTATTATCAGCAATGTTTTCGACTTTTTCAAGTATAAACGAGCAGATCTATTAACGACTTAAAGTAATGAAATGCGCTTTTATTTCAGATTTGGCAATAATCTGACATGTAGGCGAGAATGCACATCCCTGCCGAAATTGAGATCCTCAATCCGAAATGTACAATCTGGAAACTGAAGAAACAGGGATGTCCGTGGATGTGAGCGGAGTAGTCTTGTCATCTCCTCATCCGGAGGCTCACATATTCACTAACAGGTAATTCCAGTATTTATTGTTAATTTTCAGACAAAAGCTCCTGATCTCTCTTTCTCTCTCTCTAACATATTACTTTAAAAAATGCCGTTTCTTATTTCACGAGAAAAATATCATCTGTCAAAATATATATAGAAGTATACAACAATCCTTATTTTTTATTGTATTGAAAAAATAAGGATTGAAAATAAATTTTTATACAAGTATATATTTTATATAATTATAATTTAATATTATAATTATAATTATATAATAAAGTATATATTTTATATAAGTATATATTTTATACATATATCTTTATAGAGATATAATATTTCTTTGTTAATTTGAATTATAAACTTATTATCGATGCACATACCATTAGTTTTAATTATGTTATATTATATAGATATAGATAAGATAAAGTATAGATAAAGTAAGTAAAGGTATATTAGATATATTAAGTATAAATAAGTTTTCTATTACATTTTATAAAATTCAATATTAACTGTCAAATTATGCATGTACAATTCAATCGTAAAAATAATCGCTGTCATTTTCAGCATTTTTTTTCTTATCTTTCGGACAAAAAATTAATATTATAAATTTCAGATTGATTGAAAGTTTGGTCCTTACTTGTGAATTTGTCAAGCCATTTTCTTATTTATTTCTCTTCAACATTTCTAAATTTTCTATTAGAAAAGACATGTTATGCATCAATTAGGTAAATTATTTTTAAAAATCCGGCCAAGTTTCAAAAACGTGCCCATTGATCAATTTTACCGCATGAAGTCAAACAACAAGATTGTTGAGTATGATTTATTGTAACTGTTTCGACAAAACAGTAATTGTTATCGTCGTGAGATATTTCTTTTATGCGAAGAGTTGAAAAAAAAAACGATCTTTTACAAGAAAAGGTCGTCGCCCACTTAAATTTTTGCATGATAATGCTGGGTCTCATGCGGCCAAGGGCACATATTGAAACTTGACTGGGTTGTTTTGTCCCACATGGCATACTTACTGGATATAATACTTTCAGACTATTATTTATTCTCCAATCGATGGAGCACGTTTTGTCTGACAGAAAATTTAGAAATGTAAATAATAAGAAGAGATAAGGAAATGCTTTGATGAGGTCATCGCAAGTACCTACGGACTTCTACCTAGAGCTATACAGGGTGGACCAAAAGTCTGGATACAGTCGAATATCTCGTATAGAATGCATTTTAAAACAAAATGCTTTAGACAAAAGTTGTAAGGATGAAAAAGATGTATTTAACGGTAATATTCATTTAACATTGAGTGGCGTTGCCAAGGTCAGGGCAAGGTCAACTTGAATTTTTTAAATGGAACCCCCTATTTTTCATTGCATATTTTTGTAGCTTACCTCGAGAGCTTTCCAAAACACTATAATTAAGTTAGTTCTCATTAAGTGCTTTCCGAGTTATGAGGCTTGAAATCATTTCTTAATTTTACATAAACCGTAAAATATCTTGTAAAATATTCATTTTTCGATTATCTTACCTTAATACTTTTATGTACAAAATAATGAGAGGAATCAATTGGTGTAAAAAAAATACATAGTTATTTCGAAGAGATATATGTAATTTGTAATTAACAATTAAATATTTTTTCTTAAAAGTAACTGTGCTTCCTTTACAATTGATTCCTCTCATTATAATTATATATAATCTTATATAATTTTGTACATAAAAGTATTAAGGTAAGATAATCGAAAAATGAATATTTTACATGATATTTTACGGTTTATGTAAAATTATAATAAGAAATGATGTCAAGCCTTATAACTCAAAAAGTACTTGAGGGAAAAATAATTTATTAGTGTTTTAATTACTCGAGGTAAGCTCCAAGAATATTCAATGAAAAATAGGGGGTTCCATTTAAAAAATTCAAGTTGACCTCGGCGACGCCACTCAATCTCAAATGGATATTACAGTTAAGAACATCTTTTTAATCCTTACAACTTTTGTCTAAAGCATTTCGTTCTAAAATGCATTCTATAGAGATATTCGACTGTATCCAGACGTTTGATCCATCCTGCATAACTTATCTGAAGGATGGAGGGAAATGCTGCTGAAAAATGGTGGGGATTATGTCCATGATTGAACTGTACATGCATAGTTTGCTAACAAACATGATGAAATTTCCCAGGAAAAGCAATAGAAACCTGACTTATACACCTAATATAATACCTCCATACTCCTTTGTATCATACATTTATAGATTCGAAATAGCGCGCGTTAAGCGTCGAGCACGTCAACACGATACGGCGTGTAATATCGGAGCAGATAGGTCGGATGAGAGATAAGGAAGGAGAAAGAGAAGGAGAAAAGGCTAGAGAGGGATGAAGAACAGTTTCTGTTGGACCTAGTCTCCACTGGTCTCCGCAGTAAATGAGAGATACCTCTTGTGTGCGGTGTGTCGCTTCGGACTCCCGCCTTCGAAGCGTTCAGTGGTCAGTGGTGCAGCTCTACGACGATATTCCTCGTTTCGTTGCGTCGTGGACGGGATATACTGTTAGTGTGCTCTACACAGGCCATATGCTATACGCGACGTGATGGTACTCGCGCGATTTTTCTACAAGAAGCCAGCAGCGCAGAACGACGACGAGACCATCGCCGGCGATGTCGCCGCCGTCGCCGTAATATCCGGCAATGAAGCCAGCGCTACGGCGAAGAGGTGAGAGCGGGTTCCTCGGGACACGCTTCGGAGCAACATTGCGCTCGCGATGACGATAACAGCGTCAACAACGAGGCGACTCCATTCTCACTCTTGTCCATTCTCATTGCGCTCACGATTCCCGCACAGAAAAAAAAACAAGTGTCAAATCAAAACTTATACAGGGTATCCCAAAACTCAGAATCAATCTTTCAAAGACAGATTCCTGGGGTTTTGGAGACGATTTTTCCTCAACGAAAATGTCGAGGCAATAATAATTTTCGATTTATAAGTGATTGGAAATAAGGGATTTTTCGTAAACTAAGCTTGTAGAAATAAAATATTAACAAAATCACATTCTTCGATTAATTTTAAATCGAGTTTACTTTAGTTTTAATTTAAGACTTAATTGCAAAGATATATATAAGAGATATATATCTTATATAAAGATATATAAGATGATGACAAAAATTGGGAACAAAAAATGATGGCCTTCATCAACATTTTCGCTGAGGAAAAATCGTCTCCAAATGATCCCAGGAATTTGTCTTTGAAAGATTGATTATGAGTTTTGGGACACCCTGTATACTTAAACTAACGCGTTCATTGTTTCGTATATACGCAACAATTTATAATCTTCTTAGAAGAATTTAATAATTTTAAATTTTAACAATATTATAGTCTTATTTTAATATTGTAATTATCACCTAAAAAATATATAATTATTTATATTATTTATCATTATTTATATTAATTCTACTTTAAGAAAATTATAATCTTTGATTTAAAAATGTTATTTTCTATCTAACATTGTTTTTTTTCCATTCAAGGAAATTAAATCTTAAATCATAAGAATATATTTTTCTTAATTGAAAACAAGAATGTTCTTTTTTTCTGTGCGGTGTTTCATTCAAGATCGTGTTATAAAGAGGATAATCTTCTCCCTCATCTGTGTCTTTGATTTGTTCCGATTTCCAAAATCGAAAGACACACAGCTTTAGAAATTGAAATTGAAATTCCTTTTTTCGTTATTATATCATTTCGTGTTTCAAAAAGAGAGAGAGAGAGAGAGAGAGAGAGAGAGAGAGAGAGAGAGAGAGAGAGAGAGAGAGATATCTATAAAAAATATCTTATTTGTCCTTAATCTTGCAAAAGATATCATTTATAAATATAACTTATAAATTAATTACATAATATTACATATAATTATATTTATAAATATAATTTATAATTTATAAATTATATTATTAAAATATTAATAATTATATTATTATTATATTATAATTTATAAATTATATATAATTAATAAATTAATATTTATTAATTATAAATATATATATATATATATATATATATATATAAATTTATAGTTATAAATATAAACGATGTAATATAATAAATATAAATAATTATAAACTTATAATTATAAATTTATTATAAATATAATTTATAATTTATTAAATATCTTTGATTAAAGATATACTTGATATGTTACACTGTGTGAAAACCTCAAATGTGATATAAATAACTCTTTGTTTTTTGTAGAGTCATGAGTTCATTATAGATATATATATATATATATATATATATATATATATATATATATATAGATGCATCGTTGCTCGTAAACAATAATTATAGAATTATATATATATGTACAATTCAGGAAGGCGTTTTTAAGATATGAACTTTGCTTTCCTGATGTATCGTCTGAGTAATGATAATATTTTAGTTGAACGGATTAAGAAATTCTAGAATCTCAAAGAAACACAATGTTTTTTAATCAGAAAAAATGTATACTGCGCAAATGACTATAGTGATTTGTTATTGTTCATAAATAATAGCCACACATTTGCATTGGTCATGAAAAATCAGAACCTGCAATATTTCTACATAATTATATTGGAGTAAAATTTTCAATACTATTTTTATCAATATCTTTTTTCATTATTATCTTTCTATTCATCATGTCATTAGTAATTGTTTTAAGTTTTTTAAATATATACTTATTTATCTATCTCTCTCTCTCTCTCGCTTTTTACGCAGAATTTTTCATGTCATCGAACTTTTATTGTGTTACGTAATTAAAAATTAGTAAAAAATGATCGAAGAAAGAAAAGAGCATTTGAATTTTAAAATAAATTAATAAAAATTCGTAGCAGTATAAAATACGCATGTATATGAAATATAAGATTTAAGCAAATGATATATGACACATAATAATGAACATAATTATTGAAAATTTGACCATTGAAAAATATGACTGGAAAGTCGATTCCGCGAATCATCAATTAAAAGTGAACAAATTAATAAACCAAATACATTATATAGCACTCTATATACAT